AGCCCTCTGGATTATTTCCCAGCCTTCTGGAGGAAAGAATGTACATCTTTCTTGGCAGATTGCAGCATATTGGACCCTAAAACTACAGCAAGTTTATACAGAGAAAAGTTATTTTAGAGGTTTTTAAAAATGCATTAGACCTAGTTTTTCTTTCACTACATTGCCTGTACATGCCTGACAAATAAAGCAAGCCAACTTCACAGGCAAAAATGATCAGAAAAATAATTCTTAAAACAATTTTTGCACTCTTAATGTTTCTGTAAAATAAGTTTTCTCCAAAATGCGCAGCAAAAGCAACCACATGATGTGGAAGTCTGGCATAAGGGATGTGTATATCTATCTCATGAGTTTCGAAGGATTACTGTGTTACTCTCAAGAAACATGCAACAGTCTCTCAAGTTACCGTGCAATCATATTGAAATTACATTATGCTGGACTTTCTTCTCCTACACTGCATAATGCTGTTACATTTAAAGTTCCTCAGGGCAAGGACTGTGCCTGTATCTGTTTTGTAACGTGTCATGCAAACATGTGGTGTTGTAATAACTAATGAATAATCATGAGTATGCAGTCACCTCAAACTCAGGCCAGCAGATCTTTTCTACCTTTACCATTGCATACTATCGTTTGCTCCCGTGTGTGTAGACAGGTAAGCATACATGCGTATGGATAGCCAGTCATGTGTACTGGTGACAGTGGTGATGATGCATAGGTAGCCTCTGTCTTACATTCTTTTTCTGACAGCTTTGTAACCAATGACCTGAAAACATGAAACTGTACTGATGTGCCACTATATTAATAGGCCACACACCATCATGCTTGTGTAGTTGAGGAAGTAAAATTCTTCTGAATCAGCATTTCAGAAGACTAGTGAATGGCGCATTCTGAACAATTATCTAATTTTTAAACTGATCATGCATTTTTGCATCAACAGAGAGAATGAGGTCAGTTACTCTGTAAAAAATTTTATGACAGTGTGTAAAGGAAGTCCAGTGTCTGTGGTGATGTGTGAAGATAGCACAAACTACCATGCAAGTTACAGTTATACTGTTACATGATTTCAAATTTGTGCAAAAATGTTTTATTAACAAGGAACAAAAGCGTTCATAATTACTTATCTCTTTTTGCCAGCTGTGCCTCTTGCAAGAATAGCAGAACCTGACTGTCACGTTTTGCTCACCTGCAAACCCTATTGTTGTATTCTAAAAGAGTGATGTTACTCCATAATGTAAATTAACAATGCAAATTGTAGTGAAAGTGAGATGCAGCGCCCTCTATTTTTTCACTGTTTCTGAAGAACAAATTCTTCCCACGGGTCAATGATCAAATAGCTATATAGTTCTCTGAATAATTCTGCCAAAAAGAAAAGGAGAAAGATGCCTTTCTTCCATGGTATAAGTAGTGTAGTTCCTTTAACTGGCTGTGACTGTAGTCCCTGCAGAACTTAACCCTGTGGAAGTAGCCAGCAAACCCACCTCCAAAGGCTCCCTAAATTTTCTTCTCAGTGGAACAACAGCAAACACACTAGTAAAGCTCCAAAAGGCACTTGGAAGTCCTGAAAGAGAGAGAGAGAGAGTGAACTGGAATCTCCTTCAAAAAACATTAGTAAATGAGCTTTGTAAAGCTGTGCTGCATTGAGACATTACGGGCACTGTCCTTTGGGTCTGGGCTGTAGTTTTGTAAAGGACAGCAACCCCTGTGATTCTCCTGCCTGTTGCAGAGGGTGGTTTTGTTTGGCAAAACTGCCGTAATTGCACAGCCCGAATCCCTCCGCGGAGTCTGGCCGCGTGTGCAGGGTGTGTAGTTGTGTCTTCCCGTGCCTTTGCCTTCCGCGCTCTCCCTCGGCTTGTGGAGCCTGGTCACTTCATCATCATCAGGGGCTGCTGCTGGAGGTCGTAATGAAAATCAGTAATGTTCCCTTACTGCTTCTGACTTTGTTTTGGGGGAGGGAAGAAAGGACGATCTGTTGTTGTTTTTGCTTTAATGATTAAAGAAGAGCAGATGGAGAAATCTTAACAAAGTCTGCAGTAATTCTCCGTAGTTCAAGCAGCCTAAAAGCAATATATCTTCTGAAGAATCATTTATAAGGTGACTCTCTGTTCATCTGCACCAACCGCAAGGAGTGGAAATCAGCTCAGTGACACTACCAAATACTGATAACCACTTACACTGGCTTTTAGATGGCTTCCATGATATGGGAGGTAGGAACTGGGCATCTGGCAGTCATCAGTGAGAAACAGTTTGTAGAACTAAATGAAATAACATCAATTTTGCTATTTTGCGTTGTTGTATCTATGGCATGCTCTAACTAGACCTTTTCACATAACTCCCATTGAAATTAATGGAAGCCAGATGCGCTAGAGAGAAAAACGGACTCAGAGAAATTATCGTCATCTTAACACTATCTTATTAGCATTCTCTTTCTTCACTAGGCACCTTAACAATGAACATGCATTGGATGACAGAAGCACTGCTCAGTGTCGGGTGCAAATGCAAGTGG